TTGAATGATGATATTCCAGAAAATGTTCTCGTTTTAAATCATTGTGCACGTCAAACATTTTTACCTGTGAATTATTTTATTCACGCTGAGCAAAAGAACCGACTGTGATCAAATGACTGTCCGGCACGGACGTGCTAAATACGCGATGATCGAGCGTGTGTCGGTAACACGACTTTCATCATGGTAAACAAAAGACGTAACTTAGCAAGTCCGTCAAAACAAAGAGGTGACAAGAACCCCATTCTTCAACTCTTTTGTTAACAACAATGGAGATAAAAAATGTTGTTCCGTAAATAAATTTCATATGGGACTTTGGAAACATGTTCGGATAATCCGTAATTCGGATAATCGGTGTTCGGATAATCAAGCTTTGACTGTATAATACATTATACATGTTATGTATCCCACCATTGGCCAAGAATGTGATACATGTATACTGTAAATGCATTAATTTTCACTGATACATGTAAGTAAAATCCGCTGAATTAAATTAAACAAGTTTCCTTAAAAAATTTGTGAAATTAAGACACAGAGAATGTACTCAAAACATCGAAATATGTAATTTAAATGTCAGTGAAAATAAATTGTTTTACACCTGGCAACATTGTTATCTTCCAGTTTGTGCAACATAATTTTGAAAGTGATCAGATGTAGTATATTGTCATGCGTAAGTTAAATTCACATATTAGAGTGGAAAAAATTATAGATTGATATCCAATGTAATAGTATTAGTATGTTTTTGGTTTGTTTTGGACGGCAAATGTGTCAACAAGTGTCATTTTAAGGTAGAATGCTATACAAAAGTAAAAATATGGTCAGTTTTGTTAATTTTACTTATTTCATGTCACGGGGATGAAGAAAATGGAATAAAAATATGGGGTCATTGTTCTCGGTTCAGAAAAAATTGATGTACAAAATCGAGTGAAAAAAACATGTTTTGTCTGTTTTAGGGCATTTTACCATTGTTTGATATATCTCATTATCTCAAAATTTTGCCTGGTGAATATGGTGAAAAAAAGGAAAGCGTTCCTTAAGGCCCCCTCACCCCTAATCCTAATAATCCAGCCCCCAATGTAATTTTATATGCCCCTCTAAATAACTGTCCTGCAGAAGAGTATATACATGTATGTATACAATTAAATTTGGGGAGGGGCAATGGCGGGCACGGTTAGAATTATGGTTATGAGTTAGGGGGCCTTAAGGAACTCTTACTGAAAAAAGATATATAGTGTTTTACAAGTTACTTTATGATGTCTAGAAGTATTACAAAATTGACAATATTTTTAGTGGTGTTTTTAACGTGAAAAGGTGTTTTCTCAGTGGTTTATGGAAACTGCTGCTAAAATTACATTTTATGCATATTATTTTGCCATTTTTCTCAACAAAAAAAACAGATTTAACCAAAAAACTTCACTTCTTGTTGGGTAATACTAAAATGAAAAATTGTAGACAGATTTTGACACAAAATATTACTACTGCTGTAAGCGCTTAAAATATGTAAGAAATGCATGTAGAACATTCTACCTTAAGTGATATTTCTTGACAGCAAACTACAGTACGTGTTTACTTTAAACATGGACCTGCAGCTCTTTGACCATAACATAGGCCAATCAGAACTGCTAAAACAAGACGCTGAATTGATACATGTATGATAATACCTACCATAGTTGCATAGATTATTCTCACCCACAGATGCATTGCTCATTCTTCTCGCACAGTAGGGCACTTGACCTAAACCATGGAGGTATAAACAGGAGTCACAACTGGTTTAAGATCAAAGGTTCCATGATCATTTCCACAGTTTACTCAGTGATTATAATGTTTGCTTGTTAATCTAGCAGCAAACAAGAAGTTATCGAATTAACATACTGTGGGACGGGGAATTTTCACGCAATGAAATTTTAGCGTGAAAGAAAATTGTGTCTAATTCATGTTTTCCTTGCAGACGAGTTATTTCAATTTTATTATTCAATGCCTGTTACTAATTCACACATTAAAAATGAGTGTTACACTTTCATTAGCTAACACACGTCCGAGGATTATCGCTATTGTTACTGCAGTTCACATTCACTCAGCACGGCAAGCATTTTGGCAAGTAAAAAATACGGAAAACAATGCATCGGTTTTTAGAGACTGTTATTATTTCGTATGTGACATCGTCACGCCAGAAGCTGCGGTTACCCGAAAAACAAAAAGCCCTGGCAATATGTGATGTATTCAGAGCACATCAATGTGAAGATTTTTTGAAAAACTAATCTAAAATCTAATTTTCAATGTTGTACACTGACCGTATATTTCCGATATCAGCATTACGGACGTAGTTCTGGAGTCCTCGGTAATATTCAAAAACCTTCTGGCCAAAGGTCATTGTTTAAAATGGCGTCACTGGAACACATTTGCGAAGGCGATGATTGTTTCAATTCAACTGAAGTAAATGAAATTGAAAAAGTCGTGATTGAAGAGGATATATTTTGTCTCAAAACGGTGGCGCCTGGATAATAGCGAAAGATGTACCCGGAAGTCTTGAAATACTGTTAACGAAAAAAAACCCCTGAAACAGTTCAAGTTTCCGTCGTCTACTGCATACGCGGAGTACTCCGGAGGGACATAGTTTTAACACCATTGCAAAGATTGTAAAGTAGGCTTCAATTTAAACTAAGACATAAGTGGGCCAATTTAGTGCAACCCTGCCAAAACAGCCGTTAAAATTCCACAAGAAAACTGAAAAACAACATAAATTACTGCTAAATCGACCGATTTAAAAAATTCAAACATGAATAAACTTGTCATAACAATGGCATTCTTTTTAGACACATTGCGCAAGTAAATTTAGGACAGTGAACGCAAGTTTCAGAAATGATCATGGGGTTCAAAGGACGCTTAAACCACAGTCCCTCTATCACCGGTCTGGAAACGCCTGTTGTTTTACGTGTGAATCGGCGGGATTAGTTGGCTAACGCTTGTAACGGCTCTCCGCGAAGCGTGGTACTATACTGTTGATAGCTTCGAGATACATCGCGTTCAGTGCTGTGATCTATTTTTTAACGTTTCCAGAACATATACCGTATACAAATATTTTTTACCATAGTTGATTCGTAACTTCTTTGTTTTTAAGGAGAGTAAGTTTCGTTGTATACAATATGTTGATGCTCGACGTTTTCTTGTGTGAAATTATGTCTTTTTCACCTTTTGTAATAGAGGGACTGTGCCATGACTTGTAAACTGACTCGTTTTTTCTGTTCCTCTCATTAACGGTACATTCTTGACAACATGACAACATTTGTGTTTTTGGTAGATTTGAAATACGTTTAGCACAATGGTCATGTTGGGTATATGATTTTGATGATTGTTTTTTTCAAAAAATGACACTTATTTTTAAGAAGTATTTACGACGTCGTTAAAAACAAAATGGTCGGTCCCAGTTACGATGTTGTACACATTTTACTTCGGTAATTTTTTTTTTCTGCTTATTTTGTTTTTCAGGCATATTAATTGCAACAACTATATATATATATATCGGCAACACAATCAATTGAAATACTGTTTAATGTCACAAGATGTATGATTTTTGGGTCTTGGTTTTGCACGTCATTTTGGATCACATCATTCTCTCAGTCGTATAATTGTAACGCTAGTTTCTGTTCCGATTACAAGGGAATGGGGTGATTCTCCAATTCCATTTTTATTTGGTGATTAAAGAAACTACTTCTGAAACTAATGGGGTGGTTTAATTCTGTTTGGGATGTATAGAGTTTAATTTC